AAAAGGAAGCTACTGAGAAAGAGAGAAAGGCACAATAACAAACAAAAGACTGATTTTAATGAAAAATATTTTTCTAAACTTCTTCCATTTGCAGTTCCAGTTTGACCAGGTAAATCCCAGGGTGTGGCTAACAACGCCAAGCACTCCAAGTCAGTGTGCTGGTGAATTCCTGCCCAGATAGTTCTAGATTAAAGCCCTGGAATCCTTCCTCAATCCTTAGCACTAATGTTAATGCAGAAAGAGGCAACTTGCCACAATCCGGCTCGGCAGAGAGAGGAAATCTCCTTCCTGTGGCAGTGAGTCAGAGATAAGTGCATGAATGTCAAATTTTTGACACTTGGTGAGTTAAACAGTCACCTTTATATTTCCCCTATTCAGTTCCTGTGGGCTCCCAGAAGGGCAGGAACTCACAGACAGTTTCCTCAGTTTTTTGAGCGGTGGGATGAGCAGAAATTTGACCCTGAAGCCCTACAGCTGGCGATCCTCTCCCGAGAGTGAAGTCATTTGATGCTAATAGGGGCTCACCTTTTCTGGGCAACCTGGACCATATCAATATTTACCATTGCCCATGTCCATGGCTTCCAGATTCTTCTAATTTACATCCATATAGGGTATTTTTCCCCTACACGTCACATGCGGGGAGTGAGGCCATGAGATGATGTCACATCCCATCTTAGACAGCTTTATCCTGTGGCTGGAATCTTTTGTTCTAGAGGCAGTTATTGGTCAGTTTGTAAAAAACACAGGGGCTGGGTCTAGACTGCATCCCTTTTCTGTAAAAGGGAAGCAAATTAGACACATCGCAATTGCAAACAAAGCAGGGATTTAAATCCCCCCGCTTCATTTGCATAAAAATGGCTGCCGCTTTTTTCCGGCTCGGAGCTTTGCCGGAAAAAATCTTTCAGAAAATAAAGCCTTTTCCGAAAGGTCCCTTATTCCTTATTTTGGCAGCCAAGATTACTGAGTTTGTTGATCAAAGGATATGGGACAAGGGGTGGAGAGATTAGACCCTGGTACTCATGGTATTGGAACCCATTGAGTTAAATCTCTGGGCATGGCACTTGAAGGGTGGGAGGATATGGGCAAAAGATAGTGAGGGTGGGTTAAATTCTACCAATCCAAGGGAAGACACCCCTGTGATTATCCATATCCTCTACCTTGGGAGGCCAGGGAATCCATTGCCTAACAATAGCCACTGTACGTGAAAGGGGCTGGATTACTAGCCATACAGAAGGATATGAATGTAATGAAGTCCAATGGTGCCTCCTGGATAACCCTAGAATACCAGGACTTAATAAAACCATCCCTGCACTAGCCTCTGCTGTTGCTAATCCACCAGAAATTATTTCCCGAATTCCTTCCCAGAGTCAAGAGTCCGATGTTCTAAATATCTCCATTGGCCCAGAATAGTTTCCACAAGACTGCACAGTTAGGAGGGAAAGCAATGAGCATGGATGATTCTGCCCCAGCGGTTCTCTAATGCCCCCACTCTGTTCCACCAGGTGCTTAGGGATATCTGGGGCCAGCTGCCAAAGGAGGTCGGGACTGATATGATCCAGCTCATGGATAAAATCGTAACTGACTCTGCCACAGATCGGCTGTGCCATGACTTAACTGGACAGAGGGTGGAGCTGCTACCTGCAGAGGAGATGAAGTGCAACAGAGGAAAGGCCCAGAGTCCAGCTAGAACCCAAGGGATAGAGCATAGCCCAGGGATGAGCCCAATTAGGGGGGAGGGAGAGCTCAGTGGTTTGAGCATTGGCCTGCTAAGGCCAGGGTTGTGAGTTCAATCCTTGCAGAGGCCATTTGGGGCAAAAATTCATCAGGGATGGTACTTGGTCCTTCTGAGAAGGCAGAGGACTGGACTTGACCTTTCAAGGTCCCTTCCAGTCTTAGAAGTTAGCCAATCTCCATTAATTAAAAAAAATTAATTTAAAAATTCAATTGGTCCCAAAATTGCCCAATGACATTAAGTACCTGGTCTCATTTCTAGGGCTGATGGAATTTTGCAGGGAATTCATTCTCTGGTGCAGTACGCTCCTGGTGCCCCTCTGGGCATTGGTATGGGCTTTTAATTGGAACTGGACAAAGAGGTAATTGTGACCACCCCAGCATTGGTCACAGTCAATTTGGACCTACCAATAATCATTTACCCCAAATGCTTTGGTAGCTATGATGTGCCCACAGGTAGGGGAGAGTCTATGGTTGGTGGCTTATGACTCACGGTCTCTGTCATCCATGGAAGGTAAGTATGTCCCCTGTGAAATGGAGATTCCTGGCATATTGCTGCAGTTTGAAGAAATCGCATTGAGGGTGAGATAAATATATTCCTTCCATAGACTTCGAGCTGTTATCACCAACAGGAGCCAGTTAAACAGGGCAGGTCTCAAACATCCTATTCTGAGGATGGACAGTTACTATGGATAATAAGAACATGGAGCACCAGAAGCCCCGAAACCCAAAGCATCGGGTCCCGGGGCTGGTCACGAAAAGCACTTCGCACCAGTATCTCCTGTCCTGGTAGAATTCCATGCTTCCTCCTTTTGGCCATTCGAACAGAGACAGGTAAAAGAAGGTGATGAGCTGTGGTAAAAAGATGCCCAAGGTGTGTCCATTTATTCTGTTGCATAGAGACAGTCTAGTTTGTCCAATGAAGACTGGTAACATACAAAACCCAGTGAGAGAACATTATAAACTCCCTGGACACACAGTTATAGACTTGAAAGTTGCCATTCACAAGTCAAAAACCTTCTAAAACTGACTGCAATGTGAAACTACAGAGCTGGAGAGCATATGCAAATGTGGCGCCATGAAAATAGGTTAGAACAGAAACTGGGAATAGCTCTCTCAGCTCAGTAACAGAGAGGCAGGCATGTTAGTCTGATCTTGGTAAAACAAAAAAAGCCGTCATGTAGCACTTTAAAGACTAACAAGATGGTTTATTATGTGATAAGCTTATGGGGCAGACCTACTTCTTCATATCACCAAGAAGTAACTTTCTACTGCAGTATTCAGTATTTTTACCTTCTCTTCCACATCCACCCAGTTTGAAGTCACTCTGCAGTAACACTCCCATCTCTGGGTCTCGGCTATCTTTCATTTTCTTTCACTTCATGCATCTAATGAAGTGAACTGCAACTCACAAAAGTCTGTGCCATAATACATTTGTTAGTCTTTAAGGTGCCACAAGATTTTGTGTTGTTTTTACAAAGGTCATAGTGGCTCTGGTGCATCACCTCTGCTAATTTTCAATAAACATGTAAGATCTTCTTTGAGGGTATGTCTGGACTACAATGTTTTTCTGCTTTTTCTTTTGTGGAAGAGGCTTTTCCATCATTTTGGGGCCCAATGGTGGAAAAGCCTCCTCTTTTGGAGCAGTCCTTAGTCCTCCTACAACGAGGAATACAGGGCTTCCAGAAAGAGAGTGTCTGCTCTTATGCGAAAAAAAGTGGAAGAGCAAACACTTTCCCTGGACACAGCGGAGTTTTTCAAAAACGTACTTATTTTTCCAGCTAGATTTTGTTTTTAATCTAACAGCTTATTGGTGACTGGACTGTAATGTCCCAGATTTGAGGGATGGGTACCCCAGAAAGTCATCAACCACATGACACTCATAGGATGTGTACTCTGTTACAAGGAAGTAATAAAATAGAACACCACATAGCTTATATGAATTGGAAAGAGGCTTTAGTACAGAGGTGGAGAATCTTTTTAAGGGGTATTGGGGACTTCTGACCCACAGAAAAATTGGAAGGTCATCAATCACATGACATAGGTTATGTAATCTGCTAAAAAGAATTAATAAAGTAGAACACCACATAGCTTATATTAATTGGAAAGAGACTTTAGTACAGAGGTGGAGAATCTTTTTAAGGGGTATTGGGGACTTCTGACCCACAGAAAAATCAGTCAGGAACCCCACACAAGTTAGAAGCAAAAAAACAAAACAAAAAAGAACCCCAAGAAAATGAGAAGGAGAAAAAAAATGAGAAGGAGAAAGACACTCCTCACATTCCCCTCACATACCAGAGCCTAATGGAAAACAGGCTAGTAGATTTTACGTGTTTCATCCAGCGGGATGGTGAGGGATGCTGGAGTACCAGCATGGACCACCCAGTGCTAGGGGTGGGGGAGCCCTGAGCCTTGGGGGATGAATCAAGGCAAGTAGGGGGGTCATATCCAGACCCTGGGCCTTCCCACCCCTGCTTTAGTAGAACCTCCATAATTACTGATACACTTTCCTTGGATTAACACTTTCCTTCAGAAATATTTGATTATGGTCACTGGATCACTGTACATTAGATGAAGAAGCTCAGCACTGTAGTTGCTTTCTTTTCCCTTTGGCACAGCTTCCGTTCATCCAACTGATCATGAACCCCATTCACACAGGAACTAAAGGAAAGCCACTTTTCTTGGGAAAGTTTCAGTCTCATGGAAAGGCCAAGTGACAGGAAATACCGTGCGGTTCAGGAATGGTCATATTGTGGCTTATGGGATGGATCCAGTCCACAGGGTTAATCCCTGGTGGGCCCCCACCTCTATGTTTACCTGCACTTGCACAGGTTAAGGAGCATTGCAGCTCTGGTTGGCCATGAATCGCTGTTCATGCCCAACATGATCAGTGGGAAAAGGTGTCCCGGTCTATGGCACTTCCTGTCACTCTCATTGGCCGCAAACGGTGATTCGCGAGCCACCAGAGCTGCGATCCTCCGATGTCTGCTGAGGCTCAAGTAAACATAGTGGCGGTGGCCTGCCAGGGACTAAACCTGTGGGTTTTGGGTTTTTTAGTGTCCACCCCAGGTGGCTGATGGGTGACACTGAAAGGAGTCAAAGGATGGTTAGAGAGAGGCAGTGATAAGATGCTATGTTTGAGAATCTCCTCAGGCTCTGAACTACCACAGAGCTGAGATCAGAAAATGAGGACGGAACACCTTCAATTCATGAGGAGATATACTTTCCTGCCCTTGTGACAGAGGTTTAAAGTCAGGGGCCCAAAGCAGTCACACTCTGCAGGTGTATTTCCCCACTTTCTCACGGAGCTCTTTGGTTTTGACCCCATAAATGATGGGGTTGAGCATGGGTGGGATAAGAAAATAGAGGCTGGCCAAGATGACATGAACGTGAGGAGCGATGCTCTGACCAAACCGGTGGGTCAGAGAGGAGAAGAGGGAAAAAATACAAGATGTCAGAATAACAGTGATGTGGGCCGTACAGGTGTTGAAGGCTTTCTGGAGGGCTTTTTTGGAGGGGATTCTGAGGACGGCCCTAATTATTAGACTGTAGGACAGGGTGACGACCATTAGATCTAAACCAGTGACTACAAATGCCAACACCAAGCCATACAACCTGTTGAATGTGATGTCCCCACAAGACATCTTCACCACAGCCATGTGGTCACAGTATGTGTGGGGGATAGTGCGCTTGGCACAGAACGGCATCCTGCCCAGGACTAAGGGCAGGGGTAGAACAAACAGAACAGCTCTTATCAAACCTATTAACCCCAGCATAACTATCCGCGCATTGGTGAGGATGGTGGCATATCTCAGAGGGTCACATATGGCAATGTAGCGATCAAAGGCCATTGCCACGAGGACAGCTGAATGCATTGTAGAAATTGCATGGAGGAAGAACATCTGGGTGAGGCATCCAACCATGGTAATGGCTTTCATATTGAACCAAAATATCCACAGTGCCTTTGGCACTACAGAGGTAGACGAACCAATGTCTGTGAGCGCCAGCATGCAGAGCAGCTGGTACATGGGTTTATGCAGGGTCTGTTCTTTCCCCACAACAAACAGAACTATGAAATTTCCCAACAGGCAAACAATGTAGCACATAGAGAAAGGGATGGAAATCCAGACATGAGCAGCTTCCAGGCCAGGGATGCCTGTTAGGATGAATGTTGAATGATCAGAAGGTGTAAGGTTGAAAGCCGCCATTAGAAGTTTGAAGCATTTATCGAGTCCAGAAATGTTCAACGTTTCTCTGAAGGGAGAAAAGCACAGTGAAGGGGGCTAAACATTTTATCACAAATATTCTAAATAGTTTATAGTTATTACCAATCTAGAAAGGGTGGTGATCAGTGAGGTGGCAACTTTACAGACGGAGCTAACCTCTTAGGGTATGTCTACACTACCCCGCTAGTTCGAACTAGCAGGGTAATGTATGCATACCGAACTTGCTAATGAAGCCCGGGATTTGAATTTCCCGGGCTTCATTAGCATAAAGCCGGCTATTCTAAATAGTTTATAGTTATTACCAATCTAGAAAGGGTGGTGATCAGTGAGGTGGCAACTTTACAGACGGAGCTAACCTCTTAGGGTATGTCTACACTACCCCGCTAGTTCGAACTAGCAGGGTAATGTATGCATACCGAACTTGCTAATGAAGCCCGGGATTTGAATTTCCCGGGCTTCATTAGCATAAAGCCGGCGCCGCCATTTTTAAAAGCCGGCTAGTGCGAACCCCGTGCCGCACGGCTACACGCGGCACGGGCTAGATAGTTCGAACTACGTAGCCATTCCGAACTATCTGTACACCTCGTTCCACAAATAGTACAGATAGTTCGGAATAGCTAGCTAGCTGGGATTACTGGTATTAAGAGCTGCTTATAATAGCGACATGACTACCTTCACTCCCTACAGGACACTGGATTCCTGAGATTTCTTTCAAAAAGCACCAGGTTGGCTAGTGTTCTGAGAGAACTCAGAAGGTTTCTGTCAGGATTGGGTATTTAGATGACACTGAGATTTATATCTAATTAATTTACAATTATTAAGGTTTTTTTATATTTGTATATTAACACAGCTCAAAAGGTCAGAGTACGCTTGAAACAGCCCTCGCTGGGATGATTGAGTTGGGATTGGTCCTGCTTTGGGCATAGGGTTGGGCTTGATGACCTCCCATGGTCTCTTCCAGCCCCCGGATTCTATGACTCTATGATCTAGGAACAAAAAATGAAAAAAATTATATTGACATGATGGAGGACTGTTGTGGGAACAGCAATAGCCCTGAACAAGTGTTGTGGGTAGCTAAATATGAGCTCCTAGTGTGACCTTGTAGCCAAAAAAGCCAATGTGATTCTTGGATGCTTACCAGGGGTATCTTAAAGAGTCATTGAGATGTTATTTTACCTCTGCATTTGGCAGAGGTGCAACTGCTGCTGGAATCCTATATCCAGTTCTGGCTTCAATGAGTATGGATGGATATTGAGACCTTGAAGAAATGTAAACCTGGTCAGAGGTTCTTTGACCAGCAACTGCATGATCCAGAAATAGAGGGAGGACAATGCACACTTGTTGTTGCTACACTGAGATTTTCTATCCACACACATCACTTTCCAGCTTCGTTTAGATCAAATCATAAACAAATTGATTCACTTCTACTGGTTGGTTTTCGGTGATTATAAGGGACAGCAAATGGATCAATGGAGATTAATTTGCCCTTACACAAGAATGCAAACTAAGTTTAATATATTTGTTAGTCTGAGTATCAATTTGCAGTGTCTTTCCTTTATTGATGACACAAGCTGTCCATCGGATTCTCGATGTACAATCTACATTTGCTTTACATCTTCACTTTCTCAGGTGTCCATGCACATGACCCAGTACTTCCTCCAGTTCAGTCTTTTTTCTCAGGTGTATCCAG